TCACTGAGGCCTGGCTAAGGCATGCCATGCTGAGGTCTAAGCAGCTTGGTTTAGACAAGCACTTGCTGAAGGAGGGCTTTGCTTTTCCAGCTGGCATTGTGCAAGATCAGTGGCTTAAAGGATGGATGCTGTTCCTTCCCCCAAATAAGGTCTATAGATTTGTACTTGTATGGTTTAGGAAACATACCTTAGCTGCTATCAAAAAACTGTACAACTACTGCTTGAACAACTGTCTGCTGTCTGACTAGCTGCAGGCCATCTCTGTCTGCTATGCTGGCCTAAAAAAGCACTGGAGAGCCTTTGTGGAAAGACTGCAGGTGGATCGGGTCACCCCACAGACCTACCAGCACTGTATCGATCAGACTGGCACAAGTTTAAGTCACAAAATTGGGGTTTTTCTTTGCTGTTACGTGAATGGGAGCGATCTTGTGAGTCAAATGCTATGGCTTTACAAGCCATGTCTGATTTAAATGCTTTTAGAAATGTTGATTGGAGGGACTGCTGAATGGCAACAGCTTTGTCTGGGTAAATCTTGGAAAAACCTTCAAGGATGGCACTTCTACAGCCTTTCTGGCAACCTAGTCTGATAGTGCGCCACTGCCCGAGTGAAAAGTTAGTTTTCTAATGTCCTTTCTGAACCTCCTGATACAGAGCCATTGCCTCTTGTTATATTATTTGGCCTACTGAGAAGTATTTTGTTCCCATTGCAACCACCCATCAAGTAGTTGTAGGAATTTCTTGGAATTGTTGCAGTTTCCTTGGAATGAAGATTATCCAGTGTGCACAATAGGCTTTTTTGTTTCTGTTTTGTTTTTTTTTTTTCCCTCTACATTTTAGTATTCCATTTCTCGCTGTGCTAAAATGGATTTGCATCTGGGATTTCATACATACGGGGAAGCTTATTGACCATTATCTAATAGACTCATTTAGCACAATTTTGAAATTGGTTAGTCAAAAAAGATGTTAACTTTTGCATGGCAGTTTCTTTTGGAGAAGTGGTGAACCGTAGCTTCTCTGGCCAGCCATTGGTCCTCTCTTTTCGTAGCCAAGCACTGGAGCAAACTGGAGTCTCTGAGGACTAGAGTCAGTGAGTGGTCTTCAATTGAACTTCTGGTGGATGTCCTCGTACTGTGGTGAAATTCTTAACAACACTGTGTTGCTGTTTTGTCCCTCTAAGTTGTGGGGCTCCACAGTTCATTTTCTTACCAGTTCTGAAATACCTGCCAGCATTGCCCATCACAGCTTTCATGGTTTAAAAACCAGTTCAAGGGAATTCCAGCTGGTACCTGTTAAGTTAGTTGTCAACAAGTTATACTCTCCTTTATATGAATGTGATGAACCACCTGACTGCTCCTGGATGTGGCCACTGCTGTGGAACGCTGACCAAGTCTGTGGGGTTAGTAATTCATTTTTATTAAGCATTAAAAGAGCTATAAGGCAGATTTATAAGACCGTGTTGTGAGCTCACTTATGGGGAAACACTGAAGTCTTGAACATCTGAAACCCCTTTATCTTCTGGCAGAAGGGAAAATGTGGTAAATCAGAGACAGGTCATGCATGCGCGCCTCTCCATGCATGGGGCTGTACCCAAAATGGAAAGCTGCAGGTTTGAGGATTCAGATTTTGGATGGCTTTTTTTAGGTCCTTACATTCCCTGATAAATTCAGTAGCAATGACAAGGGGGATATTTCAGTTCATCCACATGAGGTGAGAGAAGTGCCTGTTTCTGTAGGCACTGGTGTCCTGGCCTGACACCATGCTTTGTGTGGGTGAAGGTGTAACAGTCAGGTTTCGAAGCTGGAGCAGAGCATCATTACTGAACTTCAGCCACATTTCATGCACAGAGATCGTTACCCTGTTGCTCTGAGACCAGGCTGCTTTTTTTTGCTTATTTTCTAGGTGGAATTTAAGGCATGAGCTGCAGAACACAAAGCAGCTCCGGCTGCGATTACCTCTGTGAGTGCTTTTCCCTCCTCCAGCGGTCACAGTCAGCTGAGGAAAAGCGAAAGCTGTCAGGTCCCTGCAGAAAAAGAGAGAAATTAGTAGCTGGCAGAGTCTGTACGTGACACTTATCTGCTGCAAAGTTTGAGTCCCCCGTTCCTGCTGGTGTGATCTGTTAACATAACATGCCTGAAATATTTTCTTACATACTTAGTTTTTTCTAAGATGTGCAAAATGAAAAATGTGGGGATATTTACTCCAGTACTACAGGAATTGTGATGGGCTGGTTTTCTTTTTTTTTTACATTCACAATCTATGCCATCAGTCATGCTGTTGTGTTCTAATATAGGCATTGGCCACATAATCATGCCTGCATTTATGTGAAGATCTACATAAAGCTTATGCTTTAAAATCTTTAATGGATTCATAGGTGCTGAGTAGTTAAATGAAAGAAAAAGTCCCTTTAAAAAAAAGAAGTTAGAGCAGGTCTTTTAGTAAGTGTGTAATTGTTAGTGCTGAGAATGCCTTAAAGCATTTTGTTTTTTAATACTTAGCACTTTTTAGTTCTTCTCATTGGTCAGATAAAATACTCTTCTTAGCTCCAGTCCTGTATTCTTCATGGCACTTCTGTGAAGTCCTGCTTTACTGGGTTGGCAGATAACATTAAAAAATCAGTGCTTTAAAAAGACACACAGCCATGTCCTCTGGATCTTGGTAAGGTTCCTGTTAACTCCCCAGCTGATGGTAAGGAAGTGCACTGAATCCTTATTTTCTCCCTGTAGCAAGCAGACTTTCTTCAGATAGTAACAGAGGCAGATAAGTTGAGTATGTAGTCTGGTTTCATTAACGTTTTCCAGGATTAATATTAAGTAGAGCTCAGATCAACAGCTCTTTATATTCCTTATCAGACTTTTAATTACTGCAAGTATATTGATCGTGCCATTTCAATGTATTTAACTCTCTACTTACTACTCGGATACTATTCTTGTTCTCTTCCTTGCCACATCCTCCTTTATCTTCAGTCCTCACTTTCTTGTCAGCTGTCTAAATACAGTTGCATCCAAGTTGTGCTGAGTGACGCAGATGATTGCGTGCATTTACAGGTCAGTTAAAAAACAAAAAGATTAATCTAATTTAGCCCCTGAAGCAAGTTTTTTTTATTTAAAACACAAAACCAGCCAGGTAGTTTTTAGAGGTTACAGACACAGAAATAAAAATTTACTTGATTAGGATTTTCTGTATAAATGGCAGTAGGCTCTAATTCTGGTATTTCACTGTTTTAAAGATCAATGTCCCAGTTTAAGTTAGCAGCCGCAGAGGCGCTCTGCAATTGGATGGGGCTATTTTTGTGAATACTTACCCCAGTCTTTGTTGCTGTTGTTTAAATAAAAGCATTTAGATGGTTTAGAGCCTTATATTTAAAATGAACTCCAAGCTGAGCCCCAAGCCTAAACACAAAATCCCTCATCAGTTTTCTCTTGAGAATCACATTTTCGCCAATATTCCTTTTTCCTTGAGTGGCTTGAGGAAAGAATTAATGATTTTATAGAAGTGCTCTTTGATTTCCTACCTAATACATTGCTGATTTATAGGCAGCCAGAACAAAGTGAGTGTGCAGTTGTTACTGTACTGTATTTTAATTAGTTTTTATTTTGCTTTGGGTTTTTTACCCATTGATTCTCAGGTTGTTTCACATTACACTAATCATTCCAATTACACATGTGCAATTTGTCATTGGGTGCATATTAAACTCTCTTCAGCTGCATTTTAATAACAGAAGCTGAATTCTGTTCTGAATTGATTGTTCCAAAGAAAGTTCATTCTTGACCAAAAGATAAATTTCCTGCAAAGTTTGTTTCCTTCATGCAGCATTGAGCAGATTTGAAAAAGATGATTCTTCATCTTGCACTTGTGATCCGCTTCACTTACTGCTACTGCTTTGTGGGGGGTGTCAGCACGCTCCAGGTCACGGCTTCGCTCAGCCTCTAACAGGCTGGCAGAAAGGAAAATATCAGAGATGTTGCTCATGTAAGCGCTTCCGCATCTGTTTCCATCTCATCGCAAAACTGAGAGGTGATTTCCTATGGATTCCAGTTCCAGAATTGTGCATTAAAACCAAGAGGGATTTTCTTTTGAGTTTAACTGGAGAAACACACTCGCACACCGTTGCTGATTTGCCACTGCCTTGTTCTGGATAGTTGAAGCAACTGATTCATGGGCTATGTATTGCCAGCTTCTTTCGCAAAGACAGACAGAATGTTTGGAAACCGAGAATCTGTCAAAATACCACTTTGTCTTTTTACTGAAGGATTTAATGTCACTAGTACAGGAGAGAGAGCTGAGAGCAGCCGTAGTGATACTCACAAAGGAATAGTGGAGAAAGCAGGACCTCCTGTGACTATTTTCTTTCGTGTGTTTACGATAAAGGTTGTGCTGGCTGTACAGTGAGAGGAGGAAAGTCTCCTTCCTGGGGAGCCTGTGGGTCAGTCGATGGGAGGAGAAGGGGGATCAGGACCTCCCTGCCACGATACAGTGATGAACCATGGCTGGAAGCAGCTGGGAGCTGTGCAGAGCTGTGTGGGTGCCCTTACCTGGTGCAGCAGGAGCACATTGATCACATCAGGCAGGGCTAATGGGGGAGAGGGGAATGGGGGTCTGCAGCCTCCCCGCTCTTTCCCACAGCTCCATCTCTGCCTGCAAAAGTGACTGGGTTGGAGTGAAGTCCCAGTTTTTCTTCCTTACCCAGCCATGAATTCAGTCTGCGGCCTTGCCTGGATTTCCCAGATCTCTGAGCGCACTCCCCCTTCGTTAAGATGGGACTAACCAGACTGAGCAAACCGCTTTGAAATATAGGTTTGAAACAACTATCTGAATGTGCTAGGCAGCATTACTGCATTTCAGGTGACCTTTTGGTCTGAAACTTTGCCAAAGGGAGGGGAAAGGAAGCCACCGTTGAATCGAGTTCTGCACAGAGATCCTGCAACAGATGGTGTTTGCATAGAGGATATGCTGTTCGGGTGCAACTTTACTACAACGTTCTTCGTTTTTCATAATTTCAGGCGGGCCAAACTCCGGCTATATTTGGAACAGCTAAAACAGCTTGTGCCTCTCGGGCCGGACAGCACCAGACACACCACTCTAAGTCTGTTGAAAAGAGCTAAGATGCATATCAAGGTAAAAACAGTAATCCATATTTTTATTTCTTTTAAAGCAGACTCTTCCAGAATGTGTATCCACAGAGAGGAAACTAATTTTCACACAAAATCCATATGCATATGTCCGATCTTCTGGATATATTGGCCTTTGTTAGTTGCAAGGATTTCAGTAACAGTATCAAGGTTTTGTGTTTTGCAGTTTACCCTGCAGTCTGAGATATATAAAACCGGTGATTTCCGCTTAGTTACTAATGCTTTAGCTTGTGTTTTTAAAAAGAATATGTATGTATCAAGGCTGTTCTTTGATTTATTTTTTTATGGACTGAGCAAAGTAGCATTGTGCTGCACTGATTTCCATGTAAAAAGCCAGCTCTATTAATGATCAAAAAAACTAATGGAGTCAAAAGGGTTTATAGCTACTGGTAAGCCTTATCCCCATCCCACATCTTGATGACCAGATCCTGCCTCCAGGCAGAAACCAAAAATGAAATGCAGTCTCCTGTTAGTTGCCGCTCCCCTTGCGTGTTTCTTGTGTGTAACAAGTTTAAAATAAAAACCAAGCCCAAATCTCACCTGTGATCCAGCAGCAGGGCAGGTTATACCCTTGTACAGATAATTCAGAGGGAGTTATTCCTTGGGCCTTCTCTCTCCAAAGACGCCTTCGCTCCCATCTTCACTGTCGTAGTTTTCAGGGGAATGGGGTTATGCCCAGAAATAAACAAGTATTTAAATGTAAAAGTTAAAGAACAGGTTTGTGGCGCTGTGTCCAGGACTGTAATTACTCATCTGGCATTTTCTCAGTGTTATAGGGAAACAGGTCAAGAAAAGTGTCGGGAGAGGTCGAACACTGCCAGTAATCTTGGGAGTATTTTTGAGAATGGCCTGCTGTTGTGCAGCATTAAGATTCACTGCAGTTACAGAAATGGGTGTAATTGATAGGAAGAACTAAAGGTGAATTTAAGCAAAGCCATTCTTGTGAACAAAGTTTACTGAGCTACTTCTTCAGCTCTTGTAAGCAGATTTACTCCAGCTGGGCAACCCCTGTTTTTACCATTTGAGATTTTGGCCTCTTGTTTATAATTCGGGCTAACGTGTGTGAAAGGCACTGCGTGTGGTTTTTGTCTTGGGCTGCCCCCCTATCATGGGCTTATGCATACAAATTGAAAAACTGTTTTTGCAAGTGGCAAGTGTGAGAGATTAGCCATGCAGTCACCATTTCAGCTGCTGATAAAAAAAGCTAGGAACAGATTCTTTCCAAAGCCCCTCGTGCACGGTACCGAGTACTTATTTTCTGAATGCTGAAAATGAAGTTGAGCTTTCTTTTTGAGATTTTAACTGAACCTACCTTAACTGGGTTGCCACTTAATTGCTCCTTTTCGTCAGGTCATCCTACCTCCCCGCTGCACTGCCAGAGCGTGCCAATGCTTGTCTGCCATTTCTAACACAGTCATTAGTTTTGAACTTTTCACACACGCATCCCTGTATATTGAAACTTGCCCTGAAAGACTGGACGGCTTTGAGTCTCCTGGATACGAATCACCGAGTTCATTCCTAAGATAGTTGTTAAGAACTTGGGATTGCAGCCAGGAAAATGGAGGAAAGGAAGTCTGATCAATTGGGCACATTTGGTTTGTTGTGTCCATGGATGTACCAACCCCTTTTTTTATTATAACACTGTGTATCCACGTATGGAGTGTATCTACGTAGTGTGTTGCCTGGGAGGGGGCTTAACATGAGGCTGCAGAAGTCAGAGTTCATTGGGCCAGGAAACTGCCCAGTTCAGTAGTGTCGGTTATTTTTTCAAAGATAAATACTTTTGCTTTCAGGCTTGCATTGGAACAGCAAAATCTCTGCAATCCTTTTGCTTGTGGTTTGCTGTGCACTGTCCCGCCCCGCTCTCCTCAGAAAACCAAGCACAGGTTCATTCGGCCGGTGGGGAGGAATCGTCAGCAGCTGTGTTCACTCCCTGCACATCTCCTGCCTCTCAGTGGTCCTGTAAACACAGCTCACAGGGAAATCTGCTCTTTCTTATAAGTGCTTTCACTGCTGCAACCTGTAATTTACTTCATCAGTTAGATAATTTTTTAAAGTAATATAAGGTGGTTTGGTTTGTGTGCCCTTCCTGCTTTTGACCCCCTCTTATTCATTACACTTTCGTCCCTAATTATATAGTCCTTTTTTTTTTTTTTAAATGGCTGTCAGTGGTTTGGAAGAGGGTTCAGTTGAAATCTTAAAAGATACTATTTCTGTATTCTGCATTTGGACCAACAGTACAGCACATTTTACCAGGTGTGAAGTATTCTTTTTATTTCCCAAATTAATACCTTCTTTTATTCAAGCAGAGGGGAGATTTTAGGTAGATGGGTAGATGTGTGGAAGGATCCTTTTCCAGGCTGTTTGCTGAGAAGTTTTGGATTAATACCACTGATTTTGTAGGAGGTTATCGCAAAATTATCATATTTGCTCTGCAGAAGTTCAAGGAAAAAAATGCAAGAATAAAGAGAATTGTTAGTAAATTCCTCCTACGATTTATAATTAATACTGCTTATTGTTAATGAAGGGTTTCAAATGGTAAAAATTGCAGTAGGAGGGAGAGCATTCGGGAGGCCCGCAGTGGTTCCCTCATGGTGAGAAGTCTCTTTATTTCACCTAAAGAGGCATTAGGTTTGGACTGAAACCTGAGCTGCGCTCTAGTTATCTAAGATGATGCTGGTTTTGCCTGACAAAATGATTTAAATATTCCCCAGAACCCAGGCAACAATAATTTGGTCTTGGCTGAGGAACGTCTGCTAGTGGCAAGAGAGGCTCTGAGGGATTCCCCCCCCCTTCCCTGTATCCATGTATCTTACTGTGAAACAAATTCAGTTCTGGCCTAGCCAGCTTAATTGAACTGAATTCTACAGAACGGTAACAAAAAATGAATTTTTAAAACTTAATTCAAATTTAATTTTAAATTCATTTTTCAAAATGTAAATTGTCTTAAAATCACTGTTTACAAAAATATCTTAGGTTACTTATGTTTTAACGCGTGTAAAAACTGTCAGCTTACTGTCTTCTCTCTCCCTTTAAGAAATTGGAAGAACAGGACCGAAAAGCTCTAAATATTAAAGAACAATTACAGCGGGAGCACCGCTACCTCAAACGCAGATTGGAGCAGCTATCCGTGCAGGGCATGGAGCGGATCCGCACTGACAGTATGGGATCAACAATATCCACTGACTCTGAACAAGGTAATTGAAGGGGGGCTTCCCGAGGGGCGCTGCCGGAGTGGGAAGGGAAAGGGAAGTAGGGAAGCAAGAAAACATCATTTAGAACTAAAATCAAGCTTTCAACAAAACCCAGACAAAATTGTTCCAGTATGCGATTTGCAGAATAAAAAACTGCTGCATCTTTTTCACACTATTTGAAAAACTTTCTTTTTTCTAATCAGTTTTGAAGCTATTAATACCGCAAGATTTTTAAAGTTATTTATGCTGCATGTGTTTCTGCCAGTTTTTTAAACAATTACCATTTAATGTTCTGAATTTTTTGTGTAATTATTGGTAAGGCTGGCATAGTATTTTCTTCTTCGGAAAAAAAAGATCTTGCTCGTCTTAGTTCATTTGTGCGAATAAATTAATTCCACATCATTTATTGTGAAATTTTAAAACATTTTCTGTGTAACGCTCACCCAGTGTTCCCTACATTTGGTTCTCATTTAAGGCAGAGCTCTTCACGCTGCCTGTCACCATTTCGCATTTTCTCATTTGAAGTTTTTCTGTGCCTGAACACGCGCTCAGGCTGACTTCTTCAGGGCCTGTGGGAGATGAGTTGTTGGTCACGGTGCAGTCACCGGCGGACAGATGGCTACGCCACGGTCGCTACAAGCCGACACCTGT